AAGAAAAATAAAAAAATAAAAAAATTAGAACAATTATGCACATGTGAAGTAATAATACTAAAATTAGGAATACTAATACTGTGCAGAAGATTATTGGGTAATCAATTTATATTCTGAATTGTTTCTACACAGTTAAGGAGAAAGTCTCGTGGTCACCGTGGGCTCTGTATCCTGTTGTAAACAGAACAGCAATGAGGAAGGAACAAAAAAACAGGATTGTTGCAGAAAGAAAAAACAAGTAAACAAAAACATTAAAAATCTGATAGAAAAAAAAAGTAGCAGAGAGTTAAACTAGCTGCAAAATATAAGAGCAAAAATTCATTTTAAAGAACTTAAAAAGAATAAAGAATTTAAAAATTTATAATTGGGGAAAAAAGAAGAAAAAAAATCTTTATTTGGGTTCCTCTTAAGTCTCCCCTAGGTCCACTTTCCAGTCCCTTGATGCTGTCTTTGATTTGCTTGTACATGTCGGTTTTCCCAGTTGCTTGGTTGGTTTCTCAAATCAGCTTGTTTGGGTGGGCAGAGAACTTCTTCCAGGCTAAGAAGCACGATCTGCTTTTTGTGTGTGTGTGTTGCTGGGAGGAGGTGGCTGGAGGCTGTAGTTTGTTGCTGCTGGGACTAAGCTTGGTTGCCGTTTTGGCCTGTCTGGAGTCAGTGGTCTTTCCCAAAGTGGGAGTCCCCTTTGGGCCTTTAACGTGGTTTCTGTAGCAGGCTGTGCAGCCAGTTTGGCTGAGGAATGGGTGGAATTCCTTTGTTGCCTGCAGGTGGGCATGGCTGCCTCTCTAGGCTCACCAGGTAGTAAAGGTTGATCCACCCTGGCCCTGTGAGGTCTCTTGGGCAGGGCAGCCTTTCCCTAGGCAGAGGCAACTCTTGCCTTGGACACAAATGGTGCCACCTGCTGATTTATCTGCTAGCTGTTATGGCAGAGTCTATGCCAGTATCAAATATGGCGATCTTCTCAGGGGTTGGAGAGGGGGGGTGCAGTGTGTATGAGGTACTTGCCTTTAGCTGTTCTGTAAGAAGTATTTGGGATACTCAGTTTGCCTTGGATTTCCAGTCCGGAATGTGGAATTCTGCTTTTGATTGTCCAGCCCCAACTAGAGGTGGGTGAAGAGATGTGCCTCCTCAGTCTCTGGCTGTTCCCACAGCAGTTGCTGGCAGCTGTGGCTACTGCTTGTGCTCAAATCTGTCTCTGGTGAAAACTGCCTGAATTTTTCCTGGCTAGGTTGAAGCTCTGTACTATTATGGCTCACTAGGTGTGATTTTCCCATAGTGAGTTATTTCCTGAACTGCGAAAAACTGGTTTCTTGGGGAGAGCTCACATATAGCCCAGCTATATCTTCGCCATCTTCCTCTGGTCTCTGGATTTTGAGAGCTTTATATGGCACATGCCCCCGACATTCTTACCTTTACCCTATTGGAAAAAAAAATCCAGAAAGTACTGTCCAGGTGGCTCAAACTGTAGAATATCTGCCCAGCAGACACAATGTCTCAAGTTGAAACCCCTAAAATCTAATATTTTTTTAAAAAGAAGAAAAATATTTGTCTTGTTTAATAATTTGTTGTTTTCTTGAGAACACAGAATGGAAAAAATGAAAAAAATCCTAGAAGTCAAAAGAACCTTTTTTAAAAAAAATTCTACCTTTATTTATTGATTACTATGACTTAATTTCCTAAGCAATTACAAAACAACAGGATAAAAGCTTTTCTAGGTAAAAGAACCATTTTAAAGCTACTTAGTTTTTAATGTGTTTAATGGTTATCTCTCAAGTTCACAACATAAATCATCATAGCTTAAAAACGAGGTATAGGTGGCTCATGCCTGTAATCCCAGCCACTCAGGAGGCTGAAATTCTGAGACTCAGTTTCAGGCTGGGGAAGGGGTGGGAGTGGGGGGTTGTAGGGAAGTCTTTGAAGACTGCCTAAAAAATGATCAGAAAAGCAGGACTGGAGAAGTGGTAGAATACTAGATGTATAACCAAACTCAGAAAGACCAAGGCTCTGAGCTAAACCACTGATACTGCCAAAAGCAAATTTTCATAAATTATAACTTAAAATGGCAATCTAGTTTAAATATATACTTAAATATATTTAAGATCAGGTTGGGCTGAAAATCCAAGGGAAACTGAGTATACCAAATCCTTCCCACAGAACAACTAAAGGCAGGTAGCCCCCACCCCCACCCCTCCGCCACTGGAGAAGATCTCCATATTTGATACAGGCATAGACTCTGCCATAACAGCTAGCAGATAACTCGGGACACAAAAGTATGTTTAAGCCGGGAACTGAAAGAACTATAAGCTACATGAAGTGTGCTAGGATTGACCTAAGGACAGTAAACGGAAACTAAGAAATATTTCTAGGCTGTTTAGTGCTCCTTTTGTTGCTTTCACTAACTGTCTAAAAAAGAGCAGTTAGCTTAAAAAAAACTGAAAGCATCACTGCGGGATTAAACCAGAGAACTAATTCAACATAACAGGAACAACAAAAACAGCACAGACCCAGGAATTTTGGCTTGTGTAATTTCTAAAGTAAAATAAAAATTACCTGCACGGTCATTGTAACTATAATGTAGGGCAGACACTTAAGAGATTACAACCTCTGTCCAGGGATGTCTTAGAGCATAGATAGCTGATTTAGTATCATTTTCTCTTTTCTATTGATTCTTCTGGGGACCAAATACAAACAATATGAACTCTATTGTCATCCATGACCTTTCTGGGATGAAAGAAAAGATTGGAGTGCTGTCTCTTGAGTGTGAGACAATGTAATGCTTGTCTTCAAAAACATTTCTCAGTATACTCCATTGTTCTAAAGCTGATAACCAGCCATTATAGGTAATTCTAAAAACCATGTTCAGAAATTTATAGGGAAACATTTTCGGTATCCAAACTGAGAAACAGACTGGCTTCAAAGAGACTGTAACTTGAATATAAACTTTTGCTTCTATTGTTTACCTTTCCATACACAATTAGGATTTCCACACACAGCTTGAGTTGCATCTACCCAATTTTTTTAATGCAAGAGAACTACAAACGTGAAACTTGACTTTAATACAAATAAAGTGACCTACTTCCTTCTCTCCCAAATCTAACAAGTCGGGTTCAGAACGGCAATACTTGCCTCTATAAAGGGAAAACAGATCTTTCCTGTAGAATCAACTGTTTTCTTCTGGTAAAACATTCCATATCATCACAGAAACCGACTGTCCACTCATCTGTATCCTAAACATCGTACAAACATTTTGAAAACGTGAAATGAACATCAACGGCGGGCCAAATCGAGGGACATGGCTGGAGAGACGTGAAGGCCCCACTGGCCCCACTGGGGGGGGCGGGCTCAGGAGTGCAGAGCCCGCCACTTGTCCAGGGGGCCTCGGTCGGGGACGTACTTGACCCCGCAGCCATCGGGGATGAGACGCTTCTGGGCCACCTTGGCCTCGAACTCATGGGCGTTGAACTTGGTAAAGCCCCACTTCTTGGAGATGTGGATCTTCTGGCGGCCGGGGAACTTGAACTTGGCCCGGCGCAGGGCCTCAATGACGTGCTCCTTGTTCTGCAGCTTGGTGCGGATGGACATGATGACCTGGCCGATGTGGACCCGGGCGACGGTGCCTTGGGGCTTCCCGAAGGCCCCGCGCATGCCGGTCTGTAAGCGGTCGGCGCCCGCGCACGAAAGCATCTTGTTGATGCGGATGACGTGGAAGGGGTGCAGGCGCACCCTGATGTGGAAGCCATCTTTCCCGCAGCTCTTCACCATGTACTTGTTGGCGCAGATGCGGGCGGCCTCCAAGGCCTCGGACGACAGCTGCTCGTACTCGTCCGACACCATGTGGCCGCACAGCGGGAACTCATCCACTTTGGCCTTCTTCCGACCCAGGTCGAAGATGCGGATCTTGGCATCAGGAACGCCTCGGCAGAAACGAGACTTAGGGTACGGCTTGTTCTTGCAGTAACGGTAACAGCGAGCGGGTCGCCGGCCCATGGCGCTGCCGGGAGGAAGGGAGCTGCTGTTGGCGCGTGCGCGCAGGCGCATTAAAGCTACATGACAGTTACCCATGGTTCTTTGGGGGTACCACAGAGTCTAGATGAGATGGGCAGACAGACCCTCGCACCCTCTGCGCAGGCGCCGAGGTGGTATCTGTGTGCGGCCGACTCTGTGCAATAGAAGCGGTGGTCGGCTGGAAACCTCCATCTCGGAAGCCATTTTCTGCCTGTTGACTTGGTTTGTCTATTCTAATAAAAAGGGCTTGCAGTTTAGGAGACGTTACTGGATATACTTGATATACTTGTTACTTGATAGACTTCACCTCATGACTTATTGTCACAGCCTTAATCCCTGGTGTTTTGTTGCTTCATTTTTGGTGCTGGTCCTGGGCTTTGAACTGGGGGCCTTGGCTTCTTTTCAAGGCTAACGCTCATCCACCTTAGCTGCAGCTCTGGCTCTTTCCATGCATAATTGGAGATAAAAGTCTCATACACTTTCCCGCCCAGGCTGCCTCTGAGCCACGATCCTCAGATCCTCAGTCTTCTGAGTAGCTAGGTTGACAGGCGTGAGCCTATCATTATAGTTGAAGAATTGGGATGACTACCTGACCCAAATAAAGCAAGGGTTCCGGATGAGCACTCTGATGAAGATCAGAAAAGTGTAATGGAAACAGGGATAGAATGTGAGTGTGGGATGTGTTGCTTGATCATTGTTTTACTGACAGCTTACTAGCCTGGCCCATCGGAGTGATTTTTATTTTTCTTAGTTTTTGGTTATGGGGCTTGAACTCTGGGCCTGGACGCTATCCCTCAGCTCTTCAGCTAAAGGTGAGTACCATAGTGGCATTTCTGGCTCTTTCTGTTTATGTGGTGCTGAGGAATCAAACCCAGGGTCTCATGCATGCAAGGCAAGCACTCTACTTACACTCGGATTTTTTGGGTCTTGAGGCTCGATCAGGGCCTGGGGCATTGCCCCTGAGCCCTTTCTGCTCAAAGCTATTGCTCTACCACTGTGAGCAACAGCACCATTGCCAGGTTTCTGGTAGTAAACTGGTGATAAGAGTCTCACAACCTTTCCTGACAGGGTTGGGTTTGAACTTTGATCCTCAGATCTCAACCTTCTAGCTAGCATTACAAGGCATGAGCCACTCATCGCCTGCATTCCACTTGAATTTTTTTAACTTTACATTTACTTCCATTTTCAAATTTTAATATTTGATATTTAATGTTTGATATTTAATATTTAAACTTTTAATACTTGAAAATTTAATTATTAAGTGAATGATTACGTTTTCTTTCTTTCTTTTTTTTTTTTTGTCGGTCATGGGGCTTGAACTTGGGCCTGGGCGCTGTCCCTGAGCTCTTCCGCTCAAAGCTAGCACTCTACCACCTGAGCCACAGCACCACTTCTGGCTTTTTCTGCTTATGTCATGCTGAGGAATCAAACCCAGGGCCTCATGCATGCAAGGCAAGCACTCTTCCACTGAGCCATCTTCCCACCCTGAATGATTATGTTTGTTTATAGTAGTATTTTCTGTGTGTGTGTGTGTGTGTATGTATGTTTATGTTTGTAGGTATTGGGGTTTGAACTCAGGGGCTCCTGTTCCCAGTTGGCTATTTCACTCAAAGCTGGTGGTGTTTCTCTTGAGCCTCAGCTTCATTTTTGGCTTCTTGCTAATTAATTGCAGGTAAGGGCCTGGGACTTTTCTGCCTGGGCTAGCTTCAAACAGGAATTCTCATTCTCTCGGCCTGATGAGTAAAGCTAGAATTAATAGAAAATAAATGGTCCCCATTTATTTTCTTCTGATATTAGCTTTTGTAAAAATATAAACTTGCCTTAGAAAATAGAGGAAGAGAAGAAAGAGAGAAAACGAGTGTATGGGTAGTTTATAAACAATACTTGCACTTTTTTCTAGTTTTTAAACATTCCTTTGTGTTTTCACAAATACATGAACAGAATTCTTCCAGTGTGAATAGATTCTACTAAACCATTCTATGAACTAGAAGAAATAAAGTTACACTGTTTTTATTAAAGTTCTACAAAATATCCATATTAGGATAAAAACAAAGCTCTCAGCATATGAAATTGAGCCACATTAGATAGAAGGTTTTTGCTTCCCCTTCGTTTTCCTCTTTCTTCTTTTCCTCAAATGCTAGATTGTTTATAGATATATGAATATTCATACAAAGTAGCAAGTAACTAACCTGTTTACTGAACTAGCAAGTCTAGTTGTTAATTCATATATCATTTTAGGAAGTGCAAAGTGTGTGGAAGAACAGAAAGTAATCACATAATGGTCATTGCACAAAGGACCAGGCGATTTCAAAGACCTTCAAACAAGCAGGAAACATTTAAAATATGTGCAATGGGACAATTCAGCAGTGAGTAGCATAACATGAGCCCAGAATATGTGTGTGTAAAACGAACCACAGTACATATATATGTATACTCATACACACGTACACACAAACCAGAGTTCCATTTACCAAATTAAGCATCCTGGTCAATGGTCAGTGAATGCAAAGCCATTTAAGGGCTTTCCATAACTTTTATCATTGATTATAGTATGGTGTGAACAAACTAATCCAGAACCAAAATCTATATAAGTTCGAAGAAAGTAGAGAATCTTAAAGATCACTGAGGAGGTACATAAAGATGAAAAGCAAGAGCCATAAAAATGGTCATGGTAAGGAAGAGGAGCTGGGCACTGGTGGCTCACGCCTGTAAACCTAGCTACTCAGGAAGCTGAGATCTGAGGATTGCAGTTCAAAGCCTGCCAAGCAGGAAAGCCCACGAGACTCTTCTCTCCAATAAGCCACTCAGAAAAACCGGAAGTGACGCAGTGGCTCAAGAGGTAGAGCACTTGCCTTATGCTGAAGAGTGAAGGACAGCACCCAGGCCCAGAGTTCAAGCCCCACGACTGACAAAAAAAAAAAAGGAAAAACTAAAGATCTGAGGGATGTACAACTACAAGCCTGAAGCATAACTACAAGTGTAACTACAAGTTCAAGAACAAAGATAATGTTTTGTTATATATTACTGGTTTGTTGGTATAAACCACATGGCATGGTTGATTATATTTACAATCTGGATGTTCAATTTTTTTAAATAAGTGTTTTATGGTGAATATACTGTACAGAAGGATTACAGTTACATGAGCAAGTTAATGAGTACATTTCTTATCAAGCATTGTTGCCTTCTCCTCCTTTGTTTTTCCCCTACCATCCCTTCCCTCCCACCTCCTCAACTACACTTCCCCCCCCCCAAATTGTAAAGTTCGTTTTTCAACATAGCTTCTTGTAAAATCATTGTTGCAATGAGTCAACCTGTATCCCTATTTAAACAATTTGTTTTTTCCCTTCCCCTCCCCTCCTCAAATTATACCAACATCAAATACAGTGCAAACAGGGGTTATATTGTGGGGGAGGGACATACAAAGAAACAAAAAAATCATATGGTACCTTATAAATATGTTAGAAACAATAGCAAGAAAGAAAAAGACCACTTGTGTCCCTATCTTGTGTTCATTTCACTTAACATCATCTTATCTGACCTTTTCTGCCTGTCCCAGAAGCAACTAGTTATTGCAAATAAGGAAAACCATGGAACCTATGTTTCTTTGTGCCTGGCTTACTTCACTTAATATGATTTTTTCCAAGTCTTTCCATTTTCTAACAAATGGGGCTGTTTCATTCTTTCTGATGGAGGCATAGAATTCCCTTATATATGTGTGTGTGTATATATATATATATGTATATATATATACACACATATACATATATATGTATATATATATATATATATATATATATACACCACATTTTCTTGATCCATTCATCTACTGAAAAGCATCTGGTTGGTTCCTTATCTTAGCTATGGTAAATAATGCTGCAATAAACATAGTTGTGCTGGTAGCTTTAGTATGATCTTGTTTGTGATCATTTGGCTATATGCCCAAAAGTGGGATTGCTGGGTCATAGGGGAGCTCTATGTGGAGTCTTGAGAGGAACCTCCATACTGCTTTCCAAAGTAGTTGAGCAAGTTTATACTCCTACCAACAATGCAATAGGGTTCCCTTCTGGCCACATCCCATCCAACACCTTTTGTTATTAGAGTTCCTGATTATAGCCATTCTAACTGGGGTGAGGTGGAATCTCAATGTTGTTTTTATTTGCATTTCTTTTATGTCTTGAGAGGTTGAGCATTTCTTCATGTGTCTATTGGCCATTCTTCTTTCCTATTCAGAGAAGTTTCTCTTTAAGTCTTTAACCCTTGATGTTCAATTTGAAGATGGAGATTGTGTAGGTTGGCTCAACTGAAGATGTTGCTCTTAGATATTTGATATTTTCTGAATTTGTATGGTACAAAACCTTGGTATATCTGATATTCTTGAGGATAAAGTGAATCTTTTTTCCCTGGCAAAAAAACCCATTATACCAACATCAGATAAAGTGAAAACAGGGGTTATTCCATGGAGGAGGGACATACAAAGCAACAAAGAAATCATCACTGTATTTGATGTTGGTTTAATTTGTGGAGGGGAAGGGAAAAACAAATTGTTTAAATAAGGATACAGGTGGACCCATTACAACAATGGGATGTACAAGATGTTATGTCGAAAAGGAACTTTACAACTTTGGTGGGGGGGGGGCGGAGTGGGGAGCAAGAAGGTGGAAGCAAGCGGGAGGGGTAGGAAGATGGGAAGGGATGAGAAGGGGAAACAAAGAAGGAGGCAACAATGCTTGATAAGAAATATACTCATTACCTTGCCCATGTAATTGTAACCCCCTGTATGGTATTTTCACAATAAAAATAAATAAATACATAGAATTGTAGAGAAAAAAACAAGCCTAGAAAGGTGTGCTTTGTAATACAGAAGGAAAAATTTTTTAAAACTAAAATCAGGCATGCTTTATTATATATTATTCTACATGCCAAGATTCTATCATGATGCCTGTGGAAGAGACTTCTCTGAGATCTCTGAGGTGAAAGGAAGATGAT